GCGTGCAGGTCGTGCCAGGCCAGCCAGACCGGTGCCCGGGGGGGACACCAACTTAGTAAGTTGTTGCCTGGGTGCTTGCCTAGTTGTCACGAGATGCCATATGTCGCAATTTCACTGGAGGGCCAAATCTGCCCTCATCATAAGGGATTTGGTTTATTTACATAGAATTTATTATACACATCTTACAACGTTGGGGGGTGCTCATTTTCTAATGCTTAATCCTTGCTCAAATAACATAAATAATTATTCAAATCAAAACCAAAAACCTGAACTGATTCAAACCCATCATCTCATTGAACTTAAGCACATCGTAGTCCCTTTTATCACACCTGATATCATTGAGACCTCCAAAAGACGTCAATTCCCCGCCTATTCTTCTCACCTAACAATTTTAAGGCCCTGATCTCAATTGGTTCCTCCATTACTATCCCAATTATGAAAATAAGCCCAGAGGCCAGAACCTTGAATTCAATCTTGCAAAGAACGGCTTTGAGCAAGGTGCCTTTATTATTTGTGATGAAAGCAGAGAAACAGACCTAAAGTCATTGTAGAAGTCTTGGAGATGAAACTTGTGCTTGTTTTGGAGTTCAACAACATCATAGAAAGTGATGAGAGAGAGAGAGATTTGAATTGATAAAAGGAATCATAAAAGGCAAAATTGGGTTTTTATTTCAAAAAGTTAACTCACATATAACGTCGCATTTTAGCAGGTTTTGATGAATTACTCTAGATGAGAGGTTTTTGTTTCTGGATATCACTTAATATAGGAGGTCTTAGTCCAATTTGAAAAAAAATGAGATATTTCAGTATTTATGATAAAATTTAGGGGAGTTTAAGTCTTTTACCCATATATATATAGAGAGAGAGAATAGTAGTGGTATTTTCGAAAAGCCAAGTGGTGCCATCATGAGCCGGAACTTGCGCTATATGCACTCCAAAAGTTGGAGCAGGGTAAAAGAATAAAGGGTTAATTTTGTATTTTGAAAAGATCGTTGTTGGAACTTGGAAGGTGTCATTCTTTCATTTAGCCACGTGGAGGCATGACGCCACATTTGAGAGTGAGTGTGAAGGTGCTGGGCGGAACTTTTGTGAGCCCCCTTCCCCTTGAAAAGTTAACAACCCATGGTCCATCAGTCGGGGCCTCCGTGGACCGTGGATCGTGGTGGGTGTCACCACTCACCTCACCCACCAGGAGACTTCCATATATACATGTGATATATATGTATATATATATATATATGCATACAAAAAGAAAAGGGGAGGTTTTTAATTTCAGAGCATGTTTGGCAAAGTCTAATGACATCCCAATTCCCAAGAGGGTTTTTAATTTAAGTGTAGCAGTTGTTGTTACAACTTAAAAAGAAATGTTGATTTGCCCAAACTTACTTCATATCTTCTATCTGAAATTGTCTTTTTAATTTTTCACATTTTTATTTGAACAAGTTGAACAATCAAATGGTCAGAGGTCAGACACTTTTAATTAGTTTCACAAATACAATCATCCATCCATCGGCTCGTATGATTTTATGGTTTAACATAAATAAATATATAGCTTTGGACCCGTGGGTTTCCAAAGCTAGATGGAATATAGGTTGAGTAAGGTGACATGAAGAAAAAGAACATATTCGTTATGCTCACATTAACCTCCATGATTGGACCAAGTAAAGAATTAAACCTTACTTGTTTGCAACCACGCTCATTCAAGCATATATAGTTGGCATTTAATTTCCTCATTTATTATTTTATATAAATTTTAATTAATCCTTTTTTTCTCTTCATATAAAACCCAAGTTTCTTTAAACGTGAAATAGTAGTATTGGTTAGATGACCTACTACTGTTTATTAGTTATCATCATCAAAGAAATCCCATTAATCGTCCTGCTCAAACAAATAAAACAGATATATCCACACACAAGCAAAAGCTGTATGTATTGACCTTGTCTAGTTGTCTTCTACCATTTATTAGTTATTACAATGGGCTATATATGTTCTGTTGGTATTTGACCCATGCATGTATGTCATAGTGATAGGCATATACATCCAGAGTCCAGACCAGACAACAGAGCCAGAGATCCAACAAAGTCCAGGCTCTCTTTCTCAAGAGTCTAGTCTCAACTCAATCAAACTGCTCAAACAAACAGAACCGAACCTCAGTCAAAGTGACTCAACTCTCTCATTTTTGGCGCCCATAGAGTGCAAAGTGCAAAGCTATCAGGTATTACAATTAGCCGAGAATGTGCCGTTCCTCAAACAAGTGCTCAAAGTTCTTGACGCTTCTCAGAGCATTTCGAAACTTTGCCGGAACCACGCCCAAATCCGCCGATTCTTTCTCTTCTACTCCGGATAAGGTCTCCTGCCCCATGGATAATCTCCAAACCCTTAGAACCCGCGTTTGCATCATCGGCAGTGGCCCCGCGGCTCACACTGCCGCCATCTACGCCTCTCGGGCCGAGCTCAAACCCATCCTCTTCGAAGGATGGATGGCCAACGACATTGCACCAGGAGGTCAGCTCACTACCACCTCCGATGTCGAGAACTTCCCCGGTTTCCCTCAAGGGATTCTTGGAATGGAGCTCATGGATCGCTGTCGAAACCAATCCCTCCGATTCGGCACCGAAATCTTCACCGAAACTGTCAACAAGGTTGATTTCTCTACTACTCCTTTCAAGGTTTTCACTGACTCCAAGGCCGTCTTGGCTGATTCCGTTATCGTCGCCACCGGTGCAGTCGCTAAGCGATTGAAGTTTCCCGGTTCCGGTGATGGAGAAGGAGGGTTTTGGAATCGTGGGATATCAGCTTGTGCAGTTTGCGATGGTGCCGCGCCGATTTTTAGGAACAAGCCGTTGGCGGTCATTGGAGGTGGAGATTCGGCTATGGAGGAGGCAAATTTCTTGACCAAGTACGGTTCTAAGGTTCACATCATTCATAGGAGGGATGCGTTTAGAGCTTCCAAAATTATGCAGAACCGGGCATTAAGCAATCCCAAGATTGAGGTTTTGTGGAATTCTGTGGTCGTTGAAGCTTATGGGGACGGGGAGAGAGGTGTCTTGGGAGGGCTCAAGGTAAAGAATGTGGTAACCGGGGAGGTTTCGGACTTGAAGGTATCAGGCTTATTCTTTGCTATTGGCCATGAACCGGCTACAAAGTTCCTAGATGGGCAACTGGAGCTTGATTCCGATGGGTATGTTTTGACGAAGCCAGGAACAACAAAAACGAGCGTACGAGGTGTTTTTGCTGCTGGTGATGTGCAGGACAAGAAGTATCGACAAGCCGTTACGGCCTCTGGTACAGGTAAGTCGAATCTCCTTTCTTTCTGTTGCCTGTTATCTCCTTTCCTTTCTGTTCTGTTTAGTGCCATCGGCTACATGAATCCTATTTTTATTTCTTGCTACTTTCATGGTCTTCTATGCACGTGACTACACCTTCTCAATCAAATTCTTCTTATTTTATCAATTATGGGAGCTACTCCTAGCTTCCTTTGTACTACTTCATTTCTACCCCGGTCCTTTTTGGTTTTACCACTCATCCATTTAAGCGCTCATGTTTCATATTTCTGTCATTCTTTTTTTTTTTTTTACATGTTGTTTCTTAACTGCCCAACACTCTCCACCATATAACATAGCTAGCCTTACAATTGTTATATAGAATTTTCCTTTTAGATAGAATTGGTATTCACCTATTACATAAGACTTAGGGATGCATCTTTTCATTTTTCCCATTCTACTCTAAGTCTATGGGTGGCATCCTCCTTAACCTATCCTTCGTTATGAATTATTGAACCAAAGCAACAAATGAGATCAAATTGAGTGATTGAATTCAAGGTTCAAAGTATGGACACGTATCAGTCCGTATCAGCCGATATGTATCGTGCTGATGGCTTCCCGATATGCCCCTCCAGGGGTTGTATCAGGTCAGACCATGGTTCAGAGGGTAGCTGGGACTTAAAACGGACCCCTATGAACCAGTTTTGAAAAAAATAAATAAAACTTAAAAAAAAAGCACCGATTGCGTATTGGCCTGTGTCGATACTTTGAACCTTGATTGAATTATCTCCTAGTCTCCAATCTGAAGTGTACCCTGATGTGCACTCCTCATAGTTTTCAAGGTGCCAAGGTGAGGCTAGGCAACCATGGGGCGCCCAGGCGCCTAGGCCTCGCCTAGGTGATGAAATTAGAAACCTCTAAGCTAGTTACTTGGTTTTATACATTAACCTACAAACCTCATGAGCTAGTTACTTGGTTTCTACCCCTCATGAGCTAGTTACTTGGTTTTATACATTAACCTACAAACCTCTAAGCTAAATTTTCTGCTTATGATTCTTGCAGTCATGCTTAAAGTATGCAACACATAATATTAGAAATAGAAATTTGGACCTAAAAGAAGAACTGAAGGGAGTGTAACCCCTGTGTGTGACCAAGAAAAGAAAAAGAATTTAAGGAGAAAACAAGGAGGCGAAGGTCCTGTTTTAGACCAAAAAAAGAAAAAAAAAAAAAACAAGGGGTTCCACTGCTGTTTTAGACCAAGAAACTAGGGAAACACATAAAAAAAGGAAATGAAAAGAAGGGGGCAGAGCCCCTGTTTCAGACCACCAATGAAGAGGGAAAAATGATGAAAATACTCAGAGAAATGAAGAAGAAAAGGGGGCAGAACCCCTGTTCCAGATCACCTTCGAGGAGGAAAAAAGTGCAGATAAATGAATGAGATCAAAAGGGTGAAAAGATTGCAGGAAAATGAAGAAGAAAACAAGGGGGCGGAGTCACTGTTTTATTCCAAAAAAATCATGCAAAAAATGCAGGGAAAAGACAAAAAGAAAAAGAGAAGGAAAAAACCAACAAAAAGGAAGAAAAAAGGCTGAAAACGAAGAGGGTAAGAAGAAGAATAAGTGGTCGAGGAGAACTGAAAAATGAGAAGAAGAAGAACGTACTTGGCATATTTGAAATGGTTTAGATTTCCTTTTTGGTTATGCAGCATTGCAGCAACAATATAAAAATATTAAATGATCAATGTATTAAGGGATGTATTAATGTGTCTTGCAGTTGCATCTGGGTGCCCGCCTAGTCGCCTAGGCATGTGCCTAATTGACTGGGTGTGCGCCTTATTGAAATTTACATGGCATTTGGGTGAGGAAAAGTTTGAAAACCGCCTAGGCGTTGCCTTGACAACTGTGGCACTCTTATTATTTTTAAATTTACATTGCATATATTCTGTCTAGTCCTACTTATTTTAAAACCCCTTGTTTTTAATTCGGTTGTCTATAAACCTAATTTTACATTTAATCTTTTGCTAGTTTCATCAATTAATACTATGTCATTAGCAAACATCATGTACCATTGGACCTCCTCTTTAATATGTTTAGTCAATTGATTTATGACTAGTGCAAATAAATAAGGATTAAGTGCTGAATCTTGGTGAAGACCCATCATAATTGTAAAATCTGTTGTATTTCCCACAGGTTTTCTTACGTTAGTTTTTGAACCCTTTTACGTATCCTTAATTAGGTTCACGTACCTATCTGGGAATCCTTTTTTTCCAAAACTTATCACATTACCTTGTTAGGGACTCTATCATATGCTTTCTATAGATCAATGAAAACCATATGTAGATCTCTCTCGGTCTCTCCTTCTTTGAACTTTTCTATCAATCATCTTAAGAAAAAGATGGCTTCCATGGTTGATTTCCCTGGCATAAACCAAAATTGGTTTTCTACGATATTTGTTTCATGTTGTAATCTTTGCTCAATTATTCTCTCCAAATGTCCCAGAGTGGCTCATTATTTTAATTCCATGATAATTATTATGACTGTGTATCACCCTTGTTTTAAACATAGGGACCATAATGCTCTTTCTCTATTTGTCTGGCTTTTTCTTTGTTTTCATTATCATATTAAATAATTTAGTTAGCAATAATTAGCCTACCTCTCCCATACTTTTTAAACTTTTATCGGGATGCCATCAGGTCCTAATGATTTTTTTTCTTCGTCATCTTGTCTAGTCTCTCTTTCACTTAGGTAATTCCAATTTTAGGAAGGTATATTTTACTTTCAGTACTATTAGAGCTACTAATCCCTCCTCCACTAGCACCCTCTACATGTTCTTCATTTAATATATTTTCAAAATAAATTTTCCATTTTTGTTTAATTTCTTGATCTTTTGTCAAGAATCTTTGATCTTCCTCTTTAATGCATTTAACTTGATTTAATAATATACTTTTTCTTTCCCTAATTTTTTCCAATTTAAAAATTCCATTCTCTTCGTCTTTGGTGCCTAATCTATGATATAGTTTATCATGTCGTAAATCTAACTTCATTCACTTTTAACTTCCTTTCTTGTGGTTTTATATTGTTGTGACTTTTCTACATTTTCAGTCTTTTTTCAATCTTTATAGCATGCTTGTTTTATCGAGGCAATTAGGTTTAAATGCATGGATAGGAGAAAGTTCAAGATATATGTGGCAGAGAAAATAGAGAATGTTCTGACAATTAATTTGTTTATGAATAATAATAATTCAACAACTATGGTCCCACAAATACCTAATATGCACAGGTGGGTCCTAGTGGTGCATTATGGGCTCCACCAGTGGCATCTCCAGAATCCAAATCATGCAAATCTCCCTTTTGGCCTTTTACAACTCATTTTAGTTCCACTTTTCAATTGTTCATCCATGCCTTTATGTCTTTACTTGGTTTAGCGGTAAAAATAAAATTTCAGGATGGCAAGAGTGAGAATGCAGGTTCAAGTTTGAGAGTTGCCACTTTGTATGAAAAAGAAATACCAAAGGTTAGAACTGTATCCAGTCTACCCCTCCCAAACCCTTGGTACCTGGGACCAACATTGGATAATGGCCTTTAACCTATATATGCCTTTAGTCATGAAAGAGAAACTTGAAAATATTTGAAACATAAGATGCTTCTTCATGATGTCCCTTGAAAATATTTGAAACTCCTGCATTGGAGCTGCAAAGCCCTACAGGCCAAACCTTTTATTAGTATATTCCCCAAGTAACATCAACCATGATCATTTGGCAAGGGTTTTTGGGCTAAAATTTGCTCAATCAATAGGGATAGCAAAGGAACTTGTTGAGCAATTTTGGACCCCAAACTAAATTGCCTCATGGAAGATTCCTTGATACCAATTATTTTCGTAAGCCAATAAAAAAGGACTCCTTGGTCATTCAACCTTCTTTGTTGAAGGACTTGACTAGCAAATTTGAGCCCCAAAATCCGAGTCCCTGTAATTGCATGTTCACTATCCATTATTTTGCTTTCTCTATAGGGTTCTATTCCTGCTTTACAGATTTAATTTACTGAATATGATGCAGGTTGCATGGCAGCATTAGAAGCAGAGCATTACCTGCAAGAGATTGAATCTCAGCCTCAGGAGAGAAAGGGTGATTAACTATTTGTAAGCACTAGAGAAAGGAACGAAAAGACTCATCACAAAAGGTCAAGTCCTATCTATAAATGAAGAAACTGGATTCTTCTTCACAAAATACTTGTGTACAACAATCTAATATTTTATTCCTTCCCTTATTGTCATTGTTAATGTCACTTGTATTACACATCAATTTATACCTTCTCTTGCATTACACATCAATTTATACCTTCTCTTGCATTACACATCAATTTGTCCACTTTTAACAGAATGGTAAAACAGGATTCATGTAGTTGACCCAACATAGTTTGGACAAGGCTTAGATGATGATGATAATGAAGTGGTTGCCCACTTTTACGTGTCTTGCTACTTTTGACGAGTGTATGTATTAAGGAATCATGGGTTATTTCCTTCCTACGAAGAAAAAAAAAAGAAATTATGGGTTGAAGGAACTATAAATAACGGTTCACCTTGATGATTCCTTGGTGATTGAATTCACCAAGCCAAGACAGGCAACTGTCCATCCTCTTAAGCATATTACAATAAACTTGAGCTTGGTTGGGGATCATTAGTGATAAGAGGATAAGAGAAATGTCAAAATTGAAAAATATTCTATGATTTGTATCTATCATTTAAATAAAAAAACTCAATTTAGTATAATACAAGTGAATGTTGTATCAACTAATGATACCATAATATTATTGTGTAGCTTGTGATTTCAGTACAATTTGTTTATACTACAGGGGCCATATCCTTTCTGACATAAAAATGCTCTAATTAATGATTAAATAATTTCACTGTGTGGGGTGTGATTTGGGTATACTTTATACCCTTTGTGACATAAAAACTCTTATTTTTGAAATTTAAAAACAGTGTTAAGCTATACTTATCTTTAGAGAGCTTTTAGCTGATGCTTAGGAGGTAGCTCAAATCACTACCTTTATTATAGTATTCATCATATTAATGTAGTTAAAAGTAATAGTCTTCAAAAGGCAGAAAGAAGTGAGGCTTGGCTTGGGGTGGGGGGGACTTGGAGGGTGGGAGAGATCTATAGCAAGGTTCAAAATATCGATATGCCGATAGGGGCGTATCAGGCCATATCGGTACTTTTTTTATTTTATTTTTCAAAAAAGGTTCAGGGGGGGCCGGTTTAAGGCTCCTCCACCCCTTGAACCGGTCAGAACCCCGATACACCCTCTGTAGGGGCATATTAGGGAGCTCCCGAAACGATACATATCGGCCAATACGTGTCAATACTTTGAACCTTGATCTATAATACAGACCAAGATCCATCTTTATCACCTTTATTTTTTTGGTGACAGGTGGGGTGGGGAGCCAAATTTGGACTGACCCTTTTAAGGGGGCACTTTGTCCGTAGTTTATAGTCTGTGAGGATCTGTAGGAAAAGTTATTGCAGTGGTGTGCAGAAAGGCCAACTGCAGCCACCATTGGGGGCTTTTGGAATGAGATTTGTGCTACCTGAAGCTCTCTCTCTGTGCAGTAACGAAAATTTGGAAAGTTAAATCAGACTCTAGTGATTTGGGCTAGCTGAGGCTCCCCCACTGAAGTTCCAATTCTTGGGCCTGCAAACTAATTACATGGGTTGAAGTCTGAAAGCAGCCACTTTATATGTAAGAAAAAGTGCCGAAGGTTAGGTGTATCCAGTCCACCCCTTCCAAGACCCCAGATGGTTGGTCCAACATTGGGTGATGGCTTTTTTATAGACTACAGTCAGACTCTTCCAAGCTCATTGCTGGGATTTGGAACCTTAACAATGATGGCCTATCAGAGATTTCTGTAATTTGATGGGTCTGGAACTTCAACAAGGACAACCTATCATTTATATCTATTGTTTGTGATATAGTGAACTTGGCTTCCAAGGTTCCATAAGCTATCAGGCGTTCAGCAAAGGTGAGTGGCTCATGGTATGGCTTATAAAATGATTAGAGTGGTTTAACTGTATTAGAAATTTATAGAATGAATGGAATACTTCCATAGTTTGGTTGACACTTGAAAATCCTGGCAAATCCATACATTTATACCGTGTCAAAAGTGATATAAAAAAAAATGAACACTGGTTCTTATCTTCCCTTATTTGGTTTGTTAAACTTAAACCAATATAAAACAAAACCCCTTCTTCCCAACTTCGACCCCTTCTCATTTGAGCCACTTCTTTCCTCACTGGCCTCTATTGACCAACCCAACCAAAGTTCTACTCTTGTTTCTTGGGATGTACCAGTAAACGAGATCCAACATGCCCTGCAGTTGATAGGGTAAACAAACCTGTAGGAACAAAATACTTAAAACCCAATTGGCAATGAAAGATCTCTGTTTTTAAGAATAGGGTTAAATGGTGAGTTCCTCTGTTATAATGTTCTCGGAATGTTGACAGGCGTAAGTATCAAGAACTCCTGTTTTACAGGTTTGTTTATTACATACTTGTCAGCTCATAGTTTCTTCTTTGATTAAATATTATTTCAAATTAGAATTGAGGAATGCTTTGCCTTCCTTTTACATGTTTTCTTTCTTGTTATCAAGTTCATTCTTCTCTTCCTTGCTCCATGTGTTGGTGCTAATTTAGTTAAGTTTAGGAGATGGTGGGAAATTCTCTGTTGTTGTTTTCTTTGTAATGACTTGTGTTTCTTTCTGAAAAACGGTTTGCATTTCTCTGTCCTTCTATATAGCAGGAAAGTACGAAGTTTTATTTCCTTTCTCTCATTCATTCATTGAGCTTTGACGAGAAGAACTTTGTTTGCCTTTCTTATGTTTATTTGTTTTTATTGGTTTAACAAATAAAAGGAAAGAAGTAATACAATGTTTTAAAAACCAACTTGGAGGCCAAACTGTTTTTGCCTCTGGGTTGCAGGTCATTGGTTTGACCATCCGGGTTGAATGGGTCAGACCATGTTATGTCATCTCTCTCTCTCTCTCTAGGGGTGTCAATTGGACTGGATTTGGTCCAATTCAATCCAGTCCAATGTAAGTCCATTACAAATGGACCAGGTCCAATCCAATCCAATTAATATTTTGGACCATCCAATCTATTCAAATTTGTTTTAATTTAGATTGATTTCAACCCAAAACTGGTCCATTGACACCCTTATCTCTCTCTCTCTCTCTCTCTATGTATGTATGTATGTATGTATGTGTGTGTGTATCAGTGTATGTGTCTATAAACACATTTTATCAATAAATAATGCATAATTATATTCTATATATAATGTGTGTATTATTTTATATTAATTAATATTTTTTAATTCAATTTTTTTTATTTGTAAAAATATTAACAACTATGATTTTTAGTCCGAAAAAAGGGTTTTATGCAAAAATAACTGAGCATTAAGGTTTATAGCCTTTGAAAGTTTTAGTGTATAACCTGTGACCTGATCACCGGGTTGAACAGGTCAACCTCCCATTGACCCGAATGCCAATGCAAAACCCAGTCTCACCCTGTCCCATTGACATTCCTGGGTGCAAGGAGTTTTCTGTATTATCCTTAATCCTTAATTGGCATAGGGTATCACAATCACGCCTTTTTGGGATTTTTTAAAATAAATTTGATATATCATGGTGAAATCTAATAAGAACATCCCCCTCGGAAGAAGTATAATATCGTATAGATTGACGTCGTCTAATGGTATGCATTTGCTGATTAGATCCGGTGGAAATGTCAACAATTTCGATTTGTTTGCCAGGGATCTGGAATTGCTACAAACATTGAATGGTGATGAGCTAATATGTCTACCAACGTTACAAATTGTGTGCAACCTGTCTTTTGTGCTGCTACTTAATGCACTCAATTGTACTTTGCGAGTTTCATTGATTCTTTGAATGAAGATGTTTGCATAAAGTGCAATCTGTAGCATGTATTGAAAAATGGCACATAGGGCTATAAATGGACAAATACCGCTCCAATCCAATTCGAATCCAATCTAATTGAAGTGTTTTTGATAACTGAAGCAACATAATGGACTGTTTGATAAGGATTTGCTGTCTTTGTCTGTCTTTTTAAGGTCTGTTTGGTTCATAGTCGGAATGAGAATCAGAACCCTTCGGAGTTGGAATGGTCTATTCTCTTCATCTGTTTGATTCAATCTAGAATTAGAACAGACTAAAGTGGATTTTCATTCTCAAGGGAGGAGGGAATGTAATTCTGGTTCCACCCAACCACATGGTTGGAATTGGAATGAGAATGGATGAACCCCTATGTTCAGTGATCTATCCAGTTTCATTTTTAGATGTTCACAAATCTTCTTAAAAAGCTTATTTATTAAAAGACAAAATAATAAACTTTTCATCAAATAGCCCCTAAGTTAATTGGACTGGATTTGGATTTAAATTTTAATCCATATTAATTATTGGATTGGATTGAATATCCACCATAGATTCAATACCGATCAATCACTTTGAATAATCCATTCTCCCTACAACGTGCGATCAAAATTAGTCTTCCATTAATTGATGGTCAGTTGCCTGAATGGTTCAGATCGAACTGCAAGCAGTACAAGCACTATCTATCTATATATTGTTCATCAGCTAAGGTTTGTGGGTTCTACCACAATAGAATTAAAAGTGTTTTCACCATGTAACAATTTCCACTCATCACTCTTTAGCCAGCAGTTGCTACTAGCTACAGCAGGACTGTCTACCTAGATTGACAAACAATAAAGTAAATATTTATGTAGCAATTCCAAATTTCCAATGGGGATAACTCGGAGGTACGGTAAGTCAATGTCATAGGAGTTCACATCTGCACTCCACAAGGGGCGCCCCACAATGTCCCACATTGTATCCCTGCCATGTATTGGAAACATCTTCCAAATATAATACCAGACCTGATGATATCATCATCCGGAGATGTTTCCAATACAAGGCGGGATGTTGTGGGACATTGTGGGGCGCAAATCTGAACTCATGTTATAGCTACTTAAAGCAGAGAATTGAGAAGCTGCTCTAACTAAGTTGAAACATATATTTCTGATGTGTAACTTTAACATGCATGTAACGTTGAGGTAGAAATATAGATAACATTAAGGTTTTCTAATGGGTATTCTTAGCGTGTTGGAATAGGTAGAAGTTGATGAAGTAATGAAATGCATGCCTTTGCATTCACTTAATTTCTTATTAGCATGAGTTAGGCTTGTACTATCCCCCACACTAGGACTTGTTCATTTAATCAGGTTATTATGAAGATGAAAATCATATGATGCATTCCAAGCTTTGTTCTCTTTTTCTTTTCCTGGTTTATTCTTGGTTTCCTTTTTCTTTTTTCCTCTCAAAATTCTAGCTCACATGAAATAATAGACTTTTGAATGCTTGTGCAATATATACTCTGTCTGTCTGTAGATCTGTCAAGGCAGACATGCCTTAAGATTTCAAGCAAATAGGAGCATGCAAGCGAATAAAGCTGCCCAACATTCATTCTTAAACAAGAAAAAAAGCTTACTCAACATGTGATCTCATCATAGAGGCTTGAAACCACAGGATACAATGCCTAGAACCTACCCACCGAAAAACAGTATGCCCAACTCGCAATTTAATTTGGAGCTTAGTTTTAACTGAAACCTTCAGAAGCAAATGTTCTCCATCTTAACAGGTAGAAAAGAATCGAAAGGTTTCTTGGAGTATGGGATTTTAGATAAAGGTAAATTAGGTAGGGTGCAATTTAGAGGAGTTTACATCGTACATGCATGTATGTATCTTCCAAAAAGAAAAACAAAGGACTGAACTCAAGGAGCTAATTAAGTAACACACCAAGTTGAAGCTCCCATATGTACTTTATTCCCCAAATTTCAATGTTTGGGGAATTGGATTTTCTTCTTTTCTTTTTCTACCAAGTGTACACAGAAGCACTTCAAAGAAATAAATTCCATTTTTGTCTAGTTATTAAGTGATGAAACAGGTGGTCTAATCTATTAATCTTGGAGGGTGTTTTAATAATATTTATCCATATGATGTTTTATTTGCAACTGACGAGACAACTTCCCTTTTCTATTTCTGTAACGCTTGGTCAGAAAAGTTTGGAGTGTGCCTGTCGATAGAGAAAGACTTGTGTAGTTCTCTAGTTATCAGAAGTAACAAATTAAGGTTTTTGCGCCGGTGAAGAAAACAAGAGGCTTTATTTTTTTATTTTTATGGGTAACCAGAAATATGAATTAAAGGAAAAAGAATTGGAACCCCACCAAATAGTTAAAGGGATTGTGAGTGAATGCACCTTAATATTTGAACCAGTACAAGGTTTTCGTAGATCTTTTCCTTTGTAGGTTATTCACTTCTTTTTCAGTAAAACAATCTGAACCTCAACCTTGGAAAAGAAGCAAGCAACCCTTAAAAATATTATTATTATTATTTTCATTTTTTGTTTCTGTGTAATGTGGAAAGATTCACAAGCTGCAAACATGTTGTCATATTAATTTTATGGGAAGAAAAGGTACACAAGATGGAACAATCTAGAAGGAGACCCGAGGAATGTGTGCATATAAACAATTATATATAGAAATCAGTAAACCAGGAGGAGAACAAAAAGGAGAAATCCCAAAGGAAAAAAAAAAAAGAATCTAATGTCTACTAATTGTACATGAATTTGCATTTACGGACCTTAAGAAGTCTCTTTTGCTTCACCCGTTCTTTCACACTACTGGATCTTATCTGTCAGCTCCTGGATAGGCTTCATCTCTTTCTGCCGTCCTGCAAATATAACACAAATCCTCTATGAAATTACAAGCCTTTTCTTTATTCTACTGCTACCATCTCTTGTATTGTTCTTAATTTGCATTGCTAAATATGAAATGAAATGGGTGAGGCAGGCTGTACGTGGTTTTTGCCTTTATCAATGTCTCTTGTCGTGTGTCATTGTTGAATTCAAAGCATAATCAACCCAAAAGAAATAAAACTTAGGGAATTACCTGCCATCCAGAAAACGATCGAGACTTGAAATATCTAACCATGTCAGAATCATCACCACTACTATAATGTACGCCTTGAAGCATTACCACTACTCCAACCAAAACCATCTCCTGGAAACTGATAATTCACCATGTTCACTCCCAAATTATAAAACGAACCACCACCACCACCTGCAGGAGCAGGGCCGCCGCCAGTTGTAACACCGGATGATTGCGATGCTGTAGGCTTGACCTGCACCGGTGACTCCTCTTCCCCCAAGGGTAATCTTTCAAACATGGCATTTGCGAATGATGTAGCCATTAGCATCACTGGACCTGAAGCGATCAAAGACCCCACAACGCTGCCCCCAACTACCTGTCCCTGCCCTCCTGCTAAAAATATTGTCAATCCACCGGCTCCAGGTTCTGCCGGCGGTGGAAGCACTGTTCCCGACAGCGAAAGTATCTCGAATCGACCGTGCATCGTCACTACACTCCCTGGTGGCGCTGCAGGCTGACGCAACGTCACATTGGCGACTGCTCCTCCGCCGCTAAGGATGCAAACACCTCGACCCCGCCGCCTTGCGTAATCTGATAGACACTCGACCACATCAGCGCCGGTCGAGACTTCAAGTACATGTGACCGGAGTGCGCTGGGGCTGTCACGTGTGACGATAATCGGTGGCTTCGGCTTATTTTTGGAGCCCGGAGGTCGGCCCCGAGGCCGACGGGTGGGAATGGCTGCTGCACCAGAACTTGTTGTGGCTGCGCTTGGGTCGGCTTTTTGATCCTTCTCTGGTGAGTGCTTCAAAACCGATATTTGGCTTGTCTGTTGTTGAGACTGCGATGTTCTTTGTGTGTGCATATCGGGTCGGAGTAGATGGTGGACATAGCCAGAACCTGGGCCTGGTTCCAATCCCTCCATCGCCACATCTATTCTCTCCCACCACTTACTTGCCAGCTTTTACCGGTGCCTTCGATCTGGTCTTCTCTTTCTATATATGTCACCGATCGAATAAATGCTATTTAGAGCTTAAAAACTATTTCTAATAAGTTCCAATCCTCTTATTGTTCTCTACCCTTACAACTAGGAACTAGCTAGTCGTCAAGCTAAGACTCAAGAACAGCCATATCATCTCTTGACCAATTCAACTGAATACCTTAAGTTTGAAATCCAAACATACAAGATATATAGGACTCGGGGGCTCTTATTACATTAAAAAAATTCCTTCATTTTTATTTTTCCTTTTCTCTCTCTAATTTTTCAATGAACAGCATGAATTCTTATTCTCAACCCAGTTTCGAGTGCTGTTTCAATTATCAAAAAAAAAAAAAAAGTGATATCTCAAACAAATACAAGCTCTCAAATCGGAACCCCGAAATTAGAATAACAGAAGGAAAAGCTGACAAGAAGCTCCAAGTGTGTAATACCAACTTGATGCAGTGATTCACTCAGTCCATAAAATTAAAACAAAGCCACAACTCCAAAGCCCATCAATGGTGTTTACCTGTTGCTCAAACCAGCAGTAATTCTTCCCTACCTAGATGGATCTTTTGGCTGCAGTAAATTATCAATATACGTTCAACTCAACTCATATAAGCAACAATTCTGCCTGATCGATCATCTGAAAAAGAAAATAGAAGGAAAGGAAAAATAATTTTTATGTGTGAAACGATGGGTTTTGAGCGTGTGGAGTGGAGCTTTGAATGAAAGTTAGGTTCAGTGGAAGGTGTGTGTGGAGTGGGAGGAGAGAGAGGAGGGAGTAAAAGCAGAAGCAATTACAAGGGCAGAGAGGCCTTAATCTTAAGCACATGGGAATTGGGATTTGGGAAGGATAAAAAGCAAGCCAACTACATAAAATAAAATAATATCGTATTAGTTAGTACTTAATTACTTTTGAGCTAGTAAATTTAGAATATATAAAAATTAAACAATAGTAAATGTTCATGAAAACGATACTAAAATTAAAAGACATATTAAAGTGGAACTTTGATCAGTAACATTTTTTAGGAGTGGTGATGCTTAAAGCTTAATGATTAGTTATTGCATTTACATGTGTCGTCCATTTATGTGCAACGCCAACCCTACGCTGGTTGGTTGAGCTAACCCTAACCCGGCCGAGAGTTAAATACTTAAATTACAAAGGTCATTTGGTCAAGGATATTTTTGTCATTGACCAAAGAGATGGAAGGTCATTTAGGGCATTTTCTAAGATACGGTAGGCGCTAGCAGCTATATTGCTAAAATTAAAGAAATTTCCTGCCCACAGCTGCAGAAGTGAATGAGTGATTGCTCCAACTCCAAGTTTATATCGTCTACTAATTAAACCCACCCACCCCCAAGTCGTATTAATAAAGAAAACATGCAAAGTGCAAACGAAAGTTCTACCTACTACACTCTGCACTTGCAACCCGGATCCAAATTAAATATATAGGATCAGGAGGTGATGGTGATCGCTGATCACTGATCAGAAAGAAAGAAATTTGCTAGATTAGATGTAATCAATCAAACATGAGATGAGGCAAGGCGTCTGCTCCGGTGCTCCCTCCCAGTCCCAGGAAGATTAATTTTGGATTCTGACATTGTAGCCACGTGGAGGCTGGAGAGTTTTTCTTCCCGGTGGGGGTTGGGGTGGTATCACAATTTTTGTAAAGGAATGCACGTGCAAATCCTAAAAAAACTTTGTGGAGGTCCATCTGGCATCTGTCGTCACCGAGTGTGGGATAAGCCCAGCTGTCAGACACGTGGAACGTGTCGTGTCGGAACATCGGTACTTGCTCGAGTCAGCCTTATCCCCCTTCCTCCTCCTCCTCCTCCTCCGACCCCTCTCTCCTTTATTAGATCGATGCATCTTCTGATGCTGGTGGTAGTGGTGGCCTGTGCAAATTAAACAGCCGGGGGCCCACATGTCAGCATGATTGTTTATGTCACCTTCGTCAATTGTCATTGCGATGGGTTCGACGTCTATTCCTCGAGCTAATCCTATTAGGATGTAGGGATCCATGGCCATGGGGGCCATCGGGCCATGCCAGCATACAACCAAACCTCTCACGCCAACCAACCTTACGCAGGCACAGCTGGCAGCCCCGGCCCCCGGACCTTGCTACTTCATCTTCATCACACATGTACATGACATCCTCTTAACCCTAAAATTTGCCCACGTGTCCATCATCTGTTGATTTCAGAATGGCGTACGTATGCCACCAGTTCCTTTTCTCAGGATGCATATGTGATATGTCACATCGACGGGGTGGTGGTAATGGTAATGCACCTGCTCTAGCTGTTTGTCTGTAATGTGTGCTTAGGTGGCAAACTTGTTTCGCCTTGGCTAGCTTGCAGTAATCTATGACTGTGAGTGTGAGGAGCAGATCCCAGCAATTCAGTTTGGAGAGTTTCGACCTTAGTCTGGCCTGGCGGCCAATTTGATTTGATGATGTATATACTTGTGGGATGCTACATCACCACTTGCATTTCATGGGTCATACTCACACACAAGTTAGGTCAGTTAAGTGGTGATCCAACGAGTGATGTGAGCTCGTCCTGATGATGAGTCGTGACTCCTGCCCATAAGATGGAAGTTCCTGCCAACCCTAACTTTGTTTTCTTTTCAATTTCAGCACCATCCTAGATCCTATTGCATAGCCTTTGTTAGTACGTAGCAAAATTTGTTTTACCTGTTGATCTAGAATGCATATTATAATATATACCTCGGGGCTTGGGTTCCTACTTCCTACTAACCATGTCAACTAGAAATTCAGAATTAATTATTAGTTGGTTAGGATAGGGTCAGCAAGTTCATACAATAGCTAACTTTGCCACATCATCAGCAAACTGCCAGGTTGGAGGAAACACTCTCATCTCATTCATTAAGCTATGCCTATGACTATGAGAACTGAGAAGTGAGAGCACCTTCCACAGATTTATATATAGAAAGTATAATATATGGAATATGCATGGTTATTGATGAGTGATACACCATTTCCATTTGACTTGACTCTTGAGCCCCACCTTAAGTGTAGCAAGCAATTAAAGGCTCTTTCACGTGGTGAAGGTATGGCAACAGGTGACGATATGGAGGATCATACACATACAAACCCTGCAGTATGCAGTAGTCTTGTCTAATCTCTCTCTGTCTCTCTCTTTCAAATAATTCAGAACAATGCATGATGGGACCTCAAGCTAAGATTCAAGAACCGAGGTTATTATATATTAGTAATAGAGGCGGCATTGTACGGCAAGAGGCTTATGCCTCAACTTGATTACAACTCTATGTCTTTATTTATGCAAACCAAACATTAAAGTTAAAAATTTATTAATGTGTAAAACCTTCCAAAATTGAAAAAGAAAGAAAACACTTGCTTAATTAATTATTTAATTAATTGGCTACCAATAAAATAAAATAATTTATAATAAAACATCTTTTAAAAAACATATCATTAATTACCTCTTGCTAAGTATAATAATCATTATTTGCTATTTTATGTTTTAATGCAATACATATGAAAACATCATGTGATAGTATGACCCACCAACCTTAGAACTAAAATTGAATTATTACCAAAAAAATAAAAAGAAAACTGAAAATGATGGTAATGATTTTTTTTAAATAATAAATAAATAAAATATAAATGATGAATTAATTTAATAAAAAAATTGAATAAATTAAAGTGTACACGGTGTGACAGCAGGAGGTAAAAAGACATACAACTAGTGGGTAATCTGGCTAGAAGGAGCTTTTCTTTTGATGTCCGAAATTAAACCTGAATCCATCAGACCAAGAGAGAGAGGCAGAAAGCCTTTAATTTCCACTCAGGACATAGGATGAGGCACCTACATACTTTTTATTTTCTCTACAAATTAATCCAAAAGGTTAAAATTTAGGGGTATTCTTTATTTGGATTTTGAGAGGAGTGAAAGTTGGTCAATGGGATCTTGATTTTTATTGACCAAAAATCGTATATTCTTTTTTTAGATTTATGCATGGTCAGAGAAAGTTTATTTTCTTAGGTATTACTTATTCATCTCCTAAATGGATAAATAATTTTCCCACCTTAAAAAAATTTGTCAACACTTGAAATGAATAAAAATGTCCCATATAATAATAAATTTTTATAGATAAAATGATCATTACCTTATTTACATGAAAAATAAAAGAACATAAATAAATACACTTATCCAAATAAATCTTTCCTAAAAAACAATTACTTGAATAAATGAATTTACTCATATAAATAACTTATCGAAATACAAACGAGACCTTAAAATAAAAATATTTGAACTTGGCAATGCCTTTCTAAGCATCCCTACGTGACTTAATCATAGTCATGAACCTACTGACAATCGACTTTATAAAAACAAATAGAGAGAGCATGCACATTGGTCAGCAGCTGGGAAAGCCATATGATGGACCACACCAACTTTGGTATTCAGCCGGACAAGATACCTCTAAATGGATGCATGAAAAGAAAGCTTTGTAGTTGGACAGTAACAGATATCGCTAGCTTGCACACTCCTGCTGTACGTGTATGCTTACCATGATACCATCTAAAATAGTAAAATGCTTTCACCATAGCCATAAACCCCCAATAATATTATATATTAATGTTTATTTATTCTATAATCATTATATGCTTTTTCATATATAGAATAAATAATCATTATATGATTCTTCTTTCTCTTCTCCCCCTTTATGCTTTCTTCTTAACTTTTTCACTTTCCTCCATTCCTCCTTCCTATCCCTCTTATTAAGTTAAGTTGGTACCCTTTTTTTTCCTCCTTCACTACTACAGCCCTACCCATTTAAGAATGATAATGGGGCGGAGACCATACTCCCTGTCCCCTCCCTTCACTTTTAAATTAATCTCCATCCTGGACCCTCAATAGACATGGGATCCCCATTGAAGACTCAAATCTCCAAATTTTTAATTAAACATATATTTACACTCTTAGGTCATGTTTGAGAGTGTTTATGCTAAAAATAAGTGTTTATTTCAATAAGCACTTATTTACATTTGACATTCAATTTCTTTAACTGTTTATTTTTTATTTCATTTTGGGCATTTAGTAATCTTTTTCTCCAATAAGCATTTATGACCATATTGTCCTTCATTTGCTTTCAAATTTTTAAAATATACCCTTATGTTTATTAAATTACTTACGAAAACACTTTTATAAAAGCAATTTTATGAAAAATAGTTTTACACAAAAGCACTTTTGTGAAAATAATTTTATGAAAGAACTTTTATAAAAGTACTTTTATGAAAGCACCTTTATGACGGTAATTTTATGAAAAGTATTTTTACACGAAAGCACTTATGAAAGTAGTTTTACTAAATCACTTTTATGAAAGCACTTTTACAGAATTACTTTTATAAAATTTAGCTAGGGATAATTTTATAAGTCGTATTTTAAAATTCAACTAGGGATAATTTTGGAAGAAAAAATTGAATAAATGCTTATTGTATAAGCACTTAAAAAAAGCTAGAAATTTGGGCTTAAAAAATAAGTCATTATTTTTTTAAATAAGCACCTATTTTGGGCTTATTTCCCAAACACCAATAAGTGCTTAATGGTGTGATCTTGGCCCAAATAAGCACTTTTTCTTAAGCACTCCCAAACATGGCCATAATTTTTAGAAACTTGTAATTTATCTCCGACTCTAGTCCTCTGTTCTCTCCCCAACTTCCCATAAAAATCAGGCTATGTTTTGCTTTTTTTAATTGTAAAAAAAAACTCCTCCCTAGCTTCTAAATAAGGCATACAGACTAAGATGGAGGCAATTACATATTCTAGAGCTTGACAAGATGAAGAAAGAGATTAATTTATCTCGCTCCGAGTTCAGATCTGCTCTTGACAGAGCATGCCTCACACTGACCTCACAGCATGTTTCAGCCGTGCACCTAGAACATTTTATACTTGTAAATTTTTAATTCATGGGGAGATATTCCATTTGCACAGTTGAAACATACTGTGAGGTCGGTGTGAGGCACACTCTGTAAGTATCTGATCCGATCTCTCTAGAGCAATGGGAAATGGCAAGGTACGGTAGACTATATATGCTTAGGCCCCGTTTGGCATCACTCCCCAAGAGTGATTCTATCAATTCTGATGATTTTCAGGATGAGTTTCAAACCAATTGGCGATTCTCATTCGAGATGAAAAAAATCTCTCCAGAAACGCAATTCGGCGGAGTGGAAAAAAGTGACTATACAGAAATGCGATTCTGGCACCAGTCCAATTCTTGTCACGTTCTTTCAAATTAACGAACACGTGAACGGGTATCACACATGAAAGTCAGGGTAGTTCAGTAATTTTCCCATTCTTCTAATACCAACCGAAAAACTCTACCCCATCTTCCTCCTTCCTTCGACATTTCTACCTTCAATAGATAAGGAATAGGTATACAAGGTCTTTTGAAAAAATTATCATCGGTTTTATGTTTTCCGTCTTGGATATTGATAGAAGGGAGGTTTTTGTATGAGAGAGCATATCCCAATTTTATTTGGCTAGCCCCTTTGCCACGTAGGATAGACCTATTAAGGATAACGATTCTATTTTAAAATTTAATTAAGGTTTAGGAGAAAAGGCGAAGGAAAGAATTCTATATACGGATTAATAAATTTTTCATCACAAATAATACATGAGCCGTCTTAGCTCAGCCGGTAGAGCGCGTGGCTTTTAACCACGTGGTCGTGGGTTCGATTCCCACAGACGGCGTTTGTTTCTTGTGAAAAATAGCTTTTGGTCTCAAATGGGTTCGTCGTATGCACGGGCCACGCCATCGCCAATTCGCCATGGATGTTAAGGCAATGTAATGTGTGTGTCTGTTGCTCATTTCTTGCATGCTTATTTTTTCGAAATAAGTTTTTTTTTTTTTTTACGCTCAAATAACTTTAAAACTCTAAACTTCATCTTTAGAGTATTAGATTTGTAAAAGTTTGCAATAAATAAATATGAGTCATTAATATTTTTTTAAAGATTTTTCAAAATTTGAAAATATATAGCAAAAATATGTAAAATTTTACAATTTTTTATAATATCTTATGATTTCTTTTTTTTTTCTTGGATGTTTAAATTTATGTTGATCTACATTTCTTACATTCAAAATCATAATTTTTTTTGTGTTATTAGTAGATTTATGAAAAATTCATGAAGATATTTGGGGAAAACATAAATTAACAAGAAATTTGAAAACGTAATTTTTTATCCGCCTATAAAGGCTAAATATGTTTTATCATTTGATCACAAAAATTGAATATATTATAATTCTATGGATGATCTATCATATCTACAAACCAATTGAAATTTCTTCTTTAATAATTATTTTTTATTTTTTTTATTTTTAGAATTAAAAATAAATAAATAATTAATTATATTTTATTATTTGATTGCAATGATTGAATATATTATAATTCTATGATGATCTATTATATCCACAAAGCAATTGAAATTTCTTCTTTAATAACTACTTTTGAATATATTATATAATATTTATTTATTTTTTATAATTTTTAGAATAATAAATAATAATTATTTAAATAACAAAAAACTATTAATTATATTTTCACATAGAAGTTGTGCCAATGCATGTTTTATGGTTGGATAGGAGAGTTGGATTTTTCTCATCCCATAAAACATTATAACTTAAGAATTATAATTTATAAATTATAGCTAAGCATATGATTTTTAATGAAGTTATAATTGGCTACAATATATTTATTCATAAAACCATTAAAATATATTAATTTAATGCATATACACCTCATTGAGGTATTATATTTAGTGTTATTAATGTATTTTTATGATTTAATAAAGTATTTATAGTGTTTCCAAGCGTATCTTAATTTTTCTCCGATACGCATGTGCATTCAAGGTGTATCTCGATACATCTCTTAAAACTGTCTTTTCAATACACTTAACGTTTCTGATACTTTGAACCTTGATTTCATGAACTCATAGCCTCATACTATAAGATAGTCAGATTTTGAAATGGCTTTTGCTTCACGTACTGACTGACCTGGCCTGAGGGGGTTGGGTTGGGCACTTGGGCTGGACTGGACCGGAGTGGAGGGCATCTGTTTCTATCTAGTTTCTACTTTCTCTACTTTCTTGCATCCGAGTAGTGTTACTGTTGGTGTTGGAGAGTGCATTGCCTGTGCCTCGCAACCCGGTCCTGTCTAGGATGGGGAAACCAAACCATGGCAATATATAATACGATTCCGCTCTTACTCTGTAGCAAATCTACATGAAATTTGAAAACCATGGCAACACTCATCCACTACATTTTTTAACAATTCATTAATAAAAACCTTTACTCACCACCTATACAATAATCCATAATATGAATTAAGAATTAAAATCAAACAAACAAACAACCAAAAACATAATTGGGATTTTAGAATAGATGAGAAATCGGATTTTACCATGCTTGACATGTTTTGTGAAGAGTAAATCCAGATTTGATGGATGAGACTAAGTCATTCAATGGTTACAATTAGACCTATTCATGGACCAGCCTTGGGCTTGAATTTTACCAAATTTTGAAAGGGCCCGGCCCAGAGACTGAGCACAAAACAGTATGAAGTTGGGCCCAAAGCCTGGTCCATGAACAACACTAGTCACAACTGTAAACCAAAGAATACCATGTGATGGGCTACTGGTCTCAGCTAAGCATTAAGATCATTGATCATTGGCTCGCATGAGACCGGATCTGCTCCTCACACCTGGCGCTTCACAAGTGCCTTACACGCACATCGTACCATGCATTGGGAACATCTCCCGTGAGAGATGTTCCCAATGCACTGTGAATGTGCATGTGAGGCGCCTATTTGTGAAAAGCAGATCCCGTCTCGGCTCGCATGGCCCACTTTTGCAGGCTGCCTGTACTATAGCTGATCACGCCAGGCTGGAATGTGAGTCTAGGCGGGTCGTGCCTGTCTGGCCCATAACCCCTCAAAAGAGAACCCTGGAATGGGCCCTCTCTTGCCACGTCAGATCATGGGCGACACGATTTTTTAGAAAATTTGAAAAAAATGAAAAGGTTAAAATAAATTAATAAGATAAACAAGAAAATAAAAAATCTTAAAATTTTGTCTTATATGTATATAATTGTTTATATATGAAATAATAAAATGAAATTAAAAAAATTATAAGAAAATTGAAATAAAATAGATAGATAAATAGATAGAGTGACGTGCAATGTCGGCCCACAAACAGCATGACCCACTCAACAGCTCTAATCAGAGGAGGGTTTGTACAATGACCAAATACATTGCCTTATATACATTAGGTGCCCATTTGGGAGGGCTGAAGGGCAGCGGCTTTTACATAAGGGTGTCAATGGACCGATTTTGGATTAGACCCTGTCCACTCAACAGCTCTTTCCAAACTAAGCCTTAGTTTCACAAGAAAAGCAAGGTGCATTTTGAAAGTTTGCGTTTAATATTATTCCCACGAGAAAACTTCCAATATTGGGAATAAAATACTTCTAAACGGATTCTATCTGTAGGTCCAATTCGATAATTTTTAGGTTTTCAGTTTTTTTGTTATTTCATTTCTGCTGCATTCTACCAACAATTAGGGCTATTAGTGAACCAGATATTGGTCCAACTCAATCTGGTCCAATATGAATCCATTACAGGTGGACCAGGTGCATTCCAATCCAATCAATATTTTGGATTGGACAATTAATGTCTTATTGGAATTTCCAACCTGTTCACATTGGTTTTAAATCAGAATGCATCCAAGTCCATTGACACCACTACTCTTTATCTTCTGTCAATGGACCGGATATTGATTCAACCTAATCCAATCCAATATAAATCCACTATAAATGGACCAGATCCAATTCAACCCAATAAATTTTTTGACCATTAGGCCTGGACTGATCCAATTCAATGTCTTATTGGACCACCCAACCCATTCAAATTAGTTTTGATTCGGACAGGATTGATACAACCCAAGCCCAGTCCATTGACACCCCTACCAACAATCGAGTAACTTTAATCAATCCAAAAGGAATATAAATTAGATGCCCCAGTTGAGAAGTAATGTGTATAATTAATTATTCATCATCTGAGCAGATTGTGCTGCAGAGGGCTTGGATGTTCTTGGTACCTTGTAAAAAATATAATGTAACCAGGGAGAAAGAAAAGATAGTTACCGCCAATGCCCCACTTTAGTTTCTTGTGCTGCAGAGGGTTTCAGCAACTGTCAGAAACTTCATGGGAGATTTTAGCAATTTACCTTATTTTTTTTGGGTTATACTAGCTTATAAAAGTCATAGGGTATAAAAAACCTCACCCTCTCTTTTCATGAAAGTTGAGATCATAGGTGGGACCCGTGGTCATAAAGTGGCATGATAACTAAAAAGCTATCATAATGTGGTTTACAATACATTCTCATAGCATCAAATCTACAGCCTCTTTTGATACAGAAGTTCAAGTATTTTATTAGAATACATACTTTCATAGTGTAATGTATACTTACAAGATCATTAGATGATAATCATAGTAGTAGTATAATCAGTTATGATCAAAAGAACGAATTCCCAATCATCATACCGGCAGTCCCATGGACTGTAAAAATACCTACAGCTGCAGCAAACCATAAATATGTTCCATGCAGTAACCGGAAATTTTAAAAATTGCATAAAAGAATCAGATGGTATACCGCCTGATAACTAAAAAGCTGAATAGGAAAGTGCCATATAAACAATGAGTTGGCTTGCTTTTGATATGTATTGCTCAATGTAAGAATTTCTCCACTCTTCAAGGTTGAATGCCAATACAACCTATCAATAGAACATTTCCTAAGTCAGCTTTCATTCACCAATAATTTAAGAATCAAAGTTAACTTATCGACAAGGATCATAAAAACAGAATTGGTATTTGAAAGCTATCTAACAAGGAGACCACCTTAAAGCTTACACTTCCGCAATAATAATATAGTAATATACTTCAGATTTCCTAAGTTGCTCGTCATGGACATCACCACGTCTTAAAGTAGTAAGAGAATAACTGTTTACTGAAGCATAGAAACATGTAATGTCCTCTATGGATTTCTTTTTTTATTCAAAAGATGCACAAAAAAGAAGGAAAAAAACTATACCACTACACATTCTTCATTGGAAGGCCCAAGAACTTCGAGAGGACCGAAAAAGTCTTTTTGAACGGGATTTAAGATGAATAAAGATTAGCTAGGCTATCAGCACATCTCTTTAGACTCTTCATAGCAATGTTTGATGATGACTTCCCAATCTCTGTCGAGCAGGTCCAATATGATTCTGAACAACCTGCTTAGTTGCCATTGGGTGATCTTTGGGATTTAGGCTCAGTTTGGAAGGAGAACAAATACAAATATGTAGAGTGCAAAAACTTGTATTTCATATTACTTTGTATGTAGTATACTCTTCCAAAACTGAGCCTTCAGATCAGTTAGAGAAGAATGCAAATAAAAATATGTATAGTGCAAATACAAGGGTTAGAAATACCATATATAAGGTTTTGCACTGTACAAACTTGTATTTGCACTCTCCCCAAACTAAGCCTTAATAGCAGTGACAGTTGACAGACAATCCATTTTGAGGACCACCTTTCTATAGCCCAGCTCCCAAGCCAGAGTAAGTCCTTTTTGGATTCAAACGACCAAAACTGAGCTATCTATTAGTAGTTCCTCTTCAAATGGATCCACCCATAATACATGTTGCTCAATAACTTGATAGGTTGACCACACAATTGTACAAGCATGCATTCTTTAAGAAAGCAATCAATCTAGTTACCTCTTTAAGATCATTTGGCCAGTTAAGCTTGGCTTGATATTAACATATTGGGTAAGAAAAGGATATCAGAGTGCCAGAGACATGATTAGCATGCAATTGGAAAGAGATTGTATCAGCAGCAGCAGCATCCATGCCTAATCCCAACCATATGGGGTTGGCTACATGAATCCTGTTTTGCCAATCAATTCTATTTAAAGCCACATCCACTGTTAAATTTATTAGTGCTTTAGTCATTTCTCATTACTACCCATGTTCTTTTTTATCTACCCCCAACTGTTATAGCCCCTTATACTTATAACAGATCACTTGTATCATGTCAGATAATTTTAGTATAGTAATATATGGATTGGGTTGGGGGGGTTGGAACCAAACTGAGATGCAAGGCTTCATGGAGACTTCTCGGTGGAGGAAGAGTTTGAAGGTGGAGGCAAAAGACTTCTTGTTCGGGGAGCTGAGGATTAAGGGTCAACCAAGCTTGAAGATAAGGGAGATGAAGCTGGCAAGAGTGCTGTTGGAAGGTTTGGAGATGATTGAATGGGTCAAGACTTTTGTCTCTGAAGCAGCTTCTGAAGGCAGGCAGGTTAGCTGGAAAGAGAGGCACACAAACACAGGTAGAAGGTATGTAATAGAAGTGTAAAAGGAATGAAAAAGGTTCTTTAATAGCTCTCACAGAATTTTTTGCAAAAAGGAAAAAGTAGTTGGCATGCTTTCCAGAAGGTAGAGGTAGTAAAGGATGGCAAGATGTTGCTACAGAGTACAGTCTTAAAGACTTTCTTGGTCTGAAAAGAAATAACTGAAGGGGAGGATTCTGGGAAGGTTGAAGAATATGCCAAGGGTGAGGTTTATGGGAAGGTTGAAGAGTCTGCTAAGGATGAGCTTAATGGTGGTACTCTGGAGCAGGATTTTTTTACCATGTCACACTGCATCAGCAATCCAATTTTGACTGTAAACTTCAAGAAAGAACAGTGGGCCAGAAAGTTGGTGTTGATAGCAAACAAACCTGTTTTGGACTGGAGTTGGTGGCTGGTTTACTGATACATAAGCTGAGCCTAAAGGAGATATTTGTGCTAACCCCACTCGACAGTTGCACAGCTGTACTTGATCTCTGTGAAAATAGAGTGTAAACTGAAGCTTTGCATATACAAGATGTTTTGGGGACCTTTACACTTTTCAAATGGTCACTCTCTTCCAACTCAAAGTCTTTTCTATTGAAAATGAAGTGGAAGGGATGTTTGTTTTGGTGTGGCTGGCCTCCTCCATTGAAGCTGATCTGTTGAAGGAAGCTTGGCAGGAAGGAGATGAGCTGGTGGAGTTCAAGGCGTTATGTAGAAGTTTCACTATTTTTTTTTTTTATCAATAACAGGAAGCATTTCATTAATAAAAGAGATTATAATACAAAGGACGGGAGATAAAATATCTTAGCTCCCCTAGGTGTCAGAATAAGATAGAAGCTTCACTAAAATAGGTAAGCAGGGTCCTATTCCTTCAAATGAGTCCCTTCCTACTGTTCAGCTCAATCAGGTTATTGGCTTTGAGGGGCAGGACTCTACGTTGCCGTTTTGCACAGGAGCTTTAGTCAGGGAACGGCCTTAAAAGGTAGTTTCAGATGGTAAGATCGACAAAGTGTTGTGTTGAGTTTGAGGGCTGCTTATATGACAGGCCTGTGTAATTGGCCTAAGTTATCTTTCTTTTGTTTAGTTAATTTAGTTAATGGGCCTTTAAATATTGGGCCTAAGTTAAATTGACATTCTTTTAAGTTAAGTTGTCTTTGTTGTTGGGACCATGTATGTTAGGGCAGTAGGGATGTAATCTTTATCTTCCCATTCAATTTCTCTTGTTCTTCTCCTCTTGTTCTCCCTCCTCTCTACAGGTTTTTCATTCTGGTTTATTTCTGTTTTTGATTTTTATTGAAAGCTACAGTTTACAACTTGGTATCAGAGCCCCCCTTAAACTTTCTTGGGGGAGTTCTCATACAGTCCCAGGATTGGCCACCTGCATGAGAGTATAGCAGGGCCGATAAGCTGGAATTTTTTGGCCTGATTCTTGGGAGTTATTTAGAAGTTTTGTTTGCCCACACTGAGAGAATGATGGTCTACCTAAAGAACAGGAAGAATCAGAGAAAAGGGGGGATTGATCTTTTCTCTTTAATGGTCTAGTTCTGTTAGTGTTAGGTGCTGCTGGAAGCTTCATTTAGAGCTATTTCAGAGATCGATCTCAGTAGGAGGGGCTGTAGTATTTTTCTGGACATTCAGCTAGCTTTGGTGTAGTCCTTCCAAGGTCTTTGGGTTGATTCTCTTACTTGGGGAAGTGTTCCAGGACAGGAACTTGGGGATGTTTGTGTTTGTGAAGTGAGTGTTTTCTTTTTCTTTTTTTTTTTTTTTTTGAGAAAAGTTAACTATTATATTCAAAAAGGGCAGGGGGGGATGTACATGAGAAGATATACAAACAACCATCAGGATCTCACAACCATAAAATCTCCCCATTTAAGGGGGCAAGCTATTAGCGCTATACAAAAAATTCCTATCCACCCCAGATTTAGCCAAAAGATCCACAATTGAGTTCAGCTCCCTTGGAATCCATCTAAAGCCACAATGCAGAGAAGAGGTTATTTCTCAGATCTTATTGAGGAAATGACCCAACCTCAAAGGGCCCTTTTTTGGGTGGGAGGCCCAATTAATAACATTTCTGGAGTCCCCCTCAATGAGAACAGAATTCAACTACAGAGATCTAACAGTTCTCAGAGTCTCAGACCCATCACCAAAGCTCTGATTTCAGCTACTGAAGCATCTATAGCACCAACTGGGCAATTGTAAGCGCAAATCACAGAACCCTCTCTGTTTAAAATAACTCCCCCGATGCCAGCCACCCGTGGTTGGTTGGGAGAAGATCTACAGCTTCCATCAAACCTCAGTAAGAAATCCAGATCTGGTCTTGGAGTGCTGGAGTGTCCAGGCTGATTGTCAAAGTGGGAGGAATGCACAATCTCTAATAAATTTCTTTCAAGATTAGAATAGCTGAAACCTTTGAACTAATCAGAAGAGAGAAGTCAGGAGAAAATGGAAGAAAAGATTCTTTCTATAATGACCTCCATCCTAGCAAACTTGATGTCAAAAATGTTCTTGTTACGTTCATCCCAGATACACCACATAACAGAATGAGTTAAGGCTCTCCAAAAGGTTTTACCTCTTGAACCCATATTTCAAGAAGGCCACTGATTAAAGAAGCTTGCCACGCTATTGGGAGGAGCCCAATAGAAATTAGCACCAAACATCATATCAAGGAAGTATTGCCAAAGAGAACGAGGCCACCTCACAATTAATTAGTTAAGTGACTACTGACTAGTCGACTCACCATCCTTCATGCACATGACACAAATGTGGGGAGAGAGGTACTGAGATCCTAATATTCTTCTTTGTATCATGTCACAAGTGTTGATATGCTCCCAGACCACCTCCCAAATAAAAAAATAAAATAAAAAAAAAAGAGAAAGAGACTTTGAGAGGTACTACACGAGGCCAAATTCTGTTGACAAAGAAGGCTCCGGGTCCCAGAAGTAAGGTGGGTGAGAAAGGATTTAGTGGAGAAAATGCTGTTGGGAGATAAAGACCAGGTATGTTTATCAGGGAGGTAAGAAGAGAGAAAGACTCCATTTAATGAGAGAAGGGACAAGACTTCTTGGGCTTCAATGTCCGTCAGGGCTCTACGAAAGTTGAAATTACAGGACAAACCTTGGCTATCTCTAACTAGGACATCAGAAGCTAGAGTGTCTTTATCCAAGGTTAGGCTGAAAAGATTAGGATAGGTTACCAACAGAGATTGAGGACCCCACCAAGTATCAGCCCAAAATCTGATACATTTCCGGTTCCAATCCCAAGTCTTGCCAAGGGGGAAAAAAGAGGAAAGACCTGAATAATACCTTTCCAAGGATTGGCTAGAGAAAATCTGTTTGTCACATTGTTTCTGTCCCACCTGTTATTGTTCCTTCCGTATTTACTTCTTATTACTGAAGCCCA